TGACTTCCACAAATTAGGAAGGCTCTAGAAGTATTTCGAATCATAGCATGTTGGAGTGCTCGTTGAGTTAGCTCCATGCTCACTAGTCCCTAAACAGACTTCAAGTTGACCTTTATCTGGCGTTAGCGAACCGATTTTGGTCATACGTCCCAGCAATTCCGCTGTCATCCGGTACCAATTTCTGATATAAGTCGACACCATTGATAAACATTTCTTCAGGAAGAGAAACCATATTTCACCGAAACCACGGTTCCTCCACCACTTTTTTGACATCAACTTGTACCACTAGAAAAATACTGCAATCATGTGTGGAAGTCTGAGCCTCTGACGATAGATAGTTCTCGACAAAAGACCACCTTGTTGACCTTTGCTTAAAGCCAGCAATCTTCTATGTAGTAACGTTTCGGTCCTTCAACTTACCAACAGCGAGTTCCCATTTAAGTTTGGAGTGTTTTGGTTTAACAGGAGAATATTGAACAGTTGACCTGTATTGTCGTTCCTTTGCTCACGCTTCCCAGAGGGATAAACACATTCTCAGAACCTTCTTTCTGCAAAATTTGCTGTCATATTTCATATCACATTCTGCTCTTATATTTAAGCTCTAGTATTGTGCCGGACTTAATATTCCATATCGGACATTTTTCCGTACAGAGCAAGCTCCGAGAAGGTGGACCAAAATCTTCCACTGATGACGTCTCTGGTGAAGTCCAAAATTGACGAAGACTCACGATTGATACAAGAAATGATTGCCAATGCGATGAGCTTGAATGCCATGTCTGTATCGCGAATATAAAGTAATAATCTGGGATACCTGAAGAATTCCGCTCGAAGGGTACCACCAATTTCAAATGAAGCCCAAACAGAGGCTCGAGTGCATTTTGCTCAATTTTTCTTTAACCAATTCGAAAATGGTCAGTCAAATAACTTTAGTAACCTCGTTACTGGTGACGAATCTTTTTTCTATAAGTACGATCCAAAAACCAAAACAGCAGTCCATGGTGTGGAGCCCAACATGAGCAAACCCACCCATAAAATAGAAGCAACAAAAAGTAATGATGTCAGTTTAATTCATGCGACCTAAACTCGTAGCTGCTTTTCCACTAGAAAAGGGTCGGACGGTAACTGCAAAATAGTACATCGAAAATTGGTTGCCAAAAGCTCTCAAAAATTTGTTGGAAAACAGGAAGAAGGAGGATTTGAGGCGCTACTTTTTACACTTCTGAAATAACGAGTAATTTGATTGCAATCTCTGGGATCGAGGAAATACGTGCAGTACCAAATTCCCCGGATAGAGCTCCTTGTGAGTTCTGGTTATTTCAGATTTCAGAATTAAAAGGAAAGAAGATTATTAATGAGGTTGGTGGTGAACTTTATGAGCTTGAAAAGCAAGATTTTGAAGACAGCTTTCAGAAGTAGAAACGCATTGAAATCAGAAGATTGAGAAGATAAAAAAGGACAAAGATTATGAATAAATAGAAAAATATTTTTTTCTGGTTAACTTACCCAACTTTTGTTAATCCCCTCGTTCTTACCCATAAAAAAAATATATTTAATATTAAAGGAACTGCTGGACAGTTGTAGGCTTAAAGACAGGCGTGCCAAGTGGGTGTTACTAGCAGTAATATGAAATTTAGAGATACAGGCATGAGTGAGACAATCTCTTTATCAGTAACACCGTTTGGGCATTTAAGTGCTTCGCTGTACCGTAAACTAGGAGAAATTTCAAAGCTTGATACATAGCGTTCTTAAATTTTGCAACAAAGTTTAACGTTCATTATGACGATCTAGATTCAACTTATATTTATTCAGAACTACAAAGAACCAAGAGTTCGTACGTAAGAGGAGAGGCTTTCAGAACGCTTAGAGAGGACTTATTGTACAATTGCAACAATAATTTGCTTAATATCTTTGTAACCGTTAAGTGTCTGTATACATGGAATGCCTGAAACCAACAACAGATGGCCAGAAATATTAAGATCGCGAAGCCTTTTATCTGCTGATATATTTTTGGTTTTTTATTTTCCATGGAAGTTTTATCATTGAAGAACTTTAAATTGTTCTTCATTTGTCTTCTTTAAAGACCATCCTGGCACCTTTGAATTATTATTTATTTATTTATTTATTTTTTTTTTTGAGCAACTGTTATATTTACTTGAGAACGCGTGGGCGTGACTTCACTCACTGACTTAATGTCCGGCCCAAGCACTGATAATGGTTAGCCAAAGCGGACATATGGAAGCCGTAAAAAATATAAATCGAACCGAATTTATTCTCTTCAACATTGGCGTGTGCGACAGCTGTTGCAAGTAAACGGCGACGTGAAACACTTCAGCAAGCAGAGCAGAAGGAAAAGGAAGAAAACGAACAATATCTGGGTATGAGCACATCAAAGGAATGAAAAAAGTAATGATCAATGCATATTTGGGAAGAAAAAAGCATTTAAAACAAAATAAAAAATAAACAAAAAACAAATAACCAATAAACAGATATAAAAGTATTAGGCTACAAACATATAAATATATTTAAATGTATGCATGTATGTATGTATGTATAGTAACTAAGAATTGTGTATCGCGTCTGTAATAATGTTGCACATCTTTAACGCTCACTACCCTTCCCACGGCGCTATCAATATATTTGTTTATCTTGTAATTGTTTTTCGTTGTTGTTGTTGTTGTTGCTGCTATTGTTTGTTGGCTATAGCAAGTCCAATAACGCCTCAACTTTGGCGTATCATCACCACATTTGTGCTGATTTATGACTTTGCCATATTTTAGCGCAACAATATCTTCTCACATACATTCATACGTATAAGATGAATATATGCAACAACACCAACAACAGCAGCTGTAGCAAGAATTGCCAAAAGAAACATTATGAAAAGAGATCTGCACCAATTTGCAACACGTTGTTGTAGCTTTCTTTTTTTGTTGTTGTCGTTTTTCTTCATTGCCACGATTAATAAAATAGCCGGGCGTAAGATTCATCAGGGCACATTCACACACACACACACACACATTCATATACATACACATGTACATATATACAACTCAACTTCTCCTCGCTCACCAGAGATTTGCGTAAATCTGTGAATATTTGCACGTCTTCAGTTGTAAGACGCTGACAGTGTTGTGTGTATATGGCATGCCATATTTTTTCTCCACTGCCATTTATTGCTTTTCATTTACTGCTTGTCAGCAACATGTGTTGCGTTTATTAGCTTTTTGGGTGGTAACATTGTTGCCTCGCCACTGACAGCCGAATTACTCTTATATACACTACATACTCTTACATTCTCACATATACAGTATAATACGAGTGCATATATAATATATACAAAAGCACGTATAGTTTGTATGTATTTGCCATTTTTTTGTATTATTTCCATTGTTGTTGTTTTTGTTATTTTCGATATTAGCCCAACTCACATCAACCTGGGTAAGCGTGCTGTCGATTTTCATCAAATTACATAAATATTTTCATTATTAGTGGCATGTGTGTAGATATGTATGTATATTCGTATCTATGCGAGAGGTTTTGTATCTGAATTTTAAGCATATTTAGGTCTACATACACATGCATGCGCAGTCATCTCAGCAGTCTTTGCAAAAACGATTCTTATTTAGATTGCGACTTTCGGCGCAGAGGTAAGTCAGCACGTGCTGTTGCATAACTCTACCCTGCAAGTAGAGCTTAAAAATCTATTTCCCCAACACATCCCAAACAGAAGCTTTTTGGTTCTAATTTTTGCCCTTAGAAAATATTCTTACCTCAAGCAATGACACTGACTAAATTGCTGAATACTTTTTACGATCTGATTTGAAGGATACTAAGAGGACTAGCAGGAAGGTACTATCTTTTTGAAGCACCTCATCCCTCACGAGAAAAATTTCGACTGCAGCTAGCTGACAGAGGCACATGCTCGGCTCATATTCAAGCTGAAAATTATGGAAAGATCTAAAAGAATGTCAGCTGAGGTGCCATTGGAAAACGAAGGGCTTCGTCAGTTATGCCTTGAAAAATGACGGTCGCGCTGCCCTGAACCCGATACCCGTCGCAGAAGGTCGTGGTTACACTTGCCTCTTACAGCAAATAGCTACAGATTTGCTCATCAGCGGTTATAAATTACCCGAAGAAAGGAGAGAGAAATTACTTAATTATTTAAAGCTCTTAGTAAGTAGGTTTTTGATACAGAAGAATGAGTCAGAGGAATGAATGCTGGCGGAATGAGTATTAAAATCATTGCTCAAACATCTGCTGGCGTGTGTTCCAAGGCATACTTGTCTGGCGGTGGGCGTTGGCGAAAGAAATGATAAGCAAGTAAAATGTGGGTAGCTGGTTAAAATGAGTAAAGCAGTGGGAGCCACTCTGGCATTTTGGGTAATTGCTTGCTTTTGGGGTATGTGAACATAAGAAAGGTTGGAGAAATTTTCTACTGGAAATACACAATAGGTTCAGGCTTCTGCATCCATTTTTTCCGGAATTAAGGGAAGGAAGCGGCAAAAGTATTGTTCCGGAGTTGCAACCTTGACCCAGGACACCCAGTATACTAATGAACAAATGGAACTTACGTCCGTTTAGAGTTGGCCTATTGCTTTTTGGTATTCACTCTGACTGCTCATCAGCCGATTTTAATATATGCAGAGCTCAACCTGACTCATATTGCAAGAACTGAGTGAATATTGCCCGGGTAGAATCATCACGACTAGAAGACTTGATTGCATGTCCTTCGCGGGACTAAGGCTCAGATGAGTTAGCGGATTTGTGACTGTCACTGAGTGCTTTGTCGATTTGAAGGTTATCACTCAGTCCTTCAGAAACAACTGAGCGTAGCAAAACACCAAGGACACCTGTACAATTTTCTAATATAGAAAAGGAAAAGTTTCAGTTACCCAAAATTTAGCTCTTCATTTAGAAGATTCCAACCCTAACAATATATTCTTCAACGCTTTGTTGAGTCATATATTGGAAAAGCATAAGGAAATAAATTGTGTCATTCTTAGGCTGCTTAAATTTACTGTTAATTTCTAAGAAAATACATTTAATTGTTTGATTTAAATAAAACCCGCTAATCATATGCCATTGCACTCGCGTGCCGTTGCAACTCGATACGATCTATTTTGCCACAACTTGTTAACGGCATCTTTGAAACGATGTGTATTTTTTCAATGCGCGAGTTCTCAAGAGCGCCCAGCTTGTGTGTTAAATCAGTACGAATCTTCTTAATCACTGACTCAGGCGACGTGTTCGAGGCATTTTTCAACTTCACAAATAAAGCGCAAGCATCCGCAGTGCTATCCTTGGACTTTTTGAAGCCCACAAGCTGGGCCATTGCTACCTCGGGTAGCTGGCCGATTAGGTTCTCAACGTTGTTCGGAATTATCTGTTGATTAAAGATTTCTTAGAAACCCAAATTTGAAGTGCTTTTTGCGAACTACTTACAATAACATCCTTGGTGCGCACGAGATCTTTATAGCGCGACTCCACATGCAGGTTGTTCTGCTCATCCACATAGCCATAATCGCCGTTCAAAAAGAAGCCGTCGGCAAAATAATAGCCACTGCTGTCGATTTTCAGGTACGGTTTGTAGGGCACGGGTGATTTGATGTACAACCGACCACGTTGATTTGGACCCAGTGGCTGCATGTGGTCATCCAGTATTTGCATTTGTAGACCGGATACCAGTTTGCCCGCATTTATGTGCTCATCTTGGGCAATGACACCCGACAACTCGGTCATACCGAAGGTGCAATAAATTTTTGCATTCACGCAGTGCTTGCGCACCAAAGCACGCAGAGCCGTCGAGGGTGCTTCACCACCTATTTGTATGGAGCGTAGAACGCTCATCGATTCTGTGTCATTTTCCGCCAAAGTGTCAAGTATTTTGTAAAAAAATTGCGGTGCAAGAAAAAGGTGTGTGACGCGGGTTTTCTTTATAATATCACAGCCGTAGGGACCATTTGCTGGTTTCGTGGCGCAAACACGCTTTGCACCGAACAGCAGCGAGATAAGCATCATGTTCACCTGGCTGATCCAACGCAGAGGTGAAAAAGCAAATATTGTAGTGTCGACAAATGGTGGGGTTGTTAAAATTGTGTGGCAGAGAAAGGTGCTAGCGCCGTGTAGCAATAGAGAATGACTGATATCGGCCACTTTCGGTGGGCCCGTCGTACCGGAGGTTAGTCCGAGCATTACCGACTCGTTTTGAGGGTCATCAACGCGCGAAGGCACGAAGTTCGCGAGTTCATCTTCAGTAACCGGTTGCAAGAGCTCGCTGCTAAACTTCGTGTCGTCTAAGGATAACTTATATCGTACGCAGTTTAAGGGTGAACGTTTCAATGAATCAGCAACTGCTGATGCGCAGAGCTCTTCATAAAATATGAACACAGGCTGCAGTAGTTGAAATGTGGCGTCGACATATTCTATTAATGTCAAAAGCGATCAGTCATTTGAGCGTCAAATATGGGAAAAACATATAATTGGACTTACCTGGCACCATGCTGGTATCAAATATATTCACCCGCGCACCCATCAGCCAAGCGCCCATTATCAAGGGCGTTACTTTCACATTATTGCTGGCATACACGAGCACGATCTCACCTCTCTGCAGGCCCAACCTGCTCAGATTCCTAGCAACCGCTACAGATGCACGGTACATTTGACCAACAGTAATACGCTCATCCGTGTCGACATAATACTCGAGCACATGGTTGGCTGGTAGCGCACGCATCTGTTTCAGAAAGGCTGCGCCCACCGACTGGTTTATAAAATCCCAATGCGGATAATTGGGTGTACTCCACACTTTTCGTTTCGGATCGTATGTAACAGATTCTGTTGTGGGCATGGCTCTGGTTAGGACGGTAAACTTTGTAGTATTAAGTCAGTTGTATGTCTTAGTTGGAAGAAAACTAGCCTTGTTCTGTGAAAGCATCAACTATTTATACAAATTTATTTTTGGTAACACTTTAAAAGTTTTTTTGTTTTTTGTTTTTTTTTTTTTTGCTCAAAAATTAGACATCTGTTGTAGATTGTCAAGCACAAGTGAGGTATTAGAAAAGAGATTTGGTCGCTTATCACAATAAGAGTTTTATTTTGGTTGAGTTATTTTATACCCAGCGTCTGTTTGTTAATATAGAAATTAAATCTGTTGCGGGAAATTCTTTTTACCAGAGAATGACCTAATAGATTTTGAAAAAAAAACTAAGAAAAATACAAAATTGAAATTATTCGAAATTTTTTTGATTTTTGCTGTATTTGACAGGACCAAAAACAGATGATTGAAAGTTATTGAAAATTCTGGAATTTTTTATATTGATAATTAAAATTTTCAAACAGCTTACAATTTTTTTCAAAATTTTTTGAAAATTCTAATTTTTAATATCCATATTGTACTATTTTATTGATGTCATGAAATTTTTCAATTATAAATTTCCTTTGGATGGAACCTTTTTTCAAAAATGCTTTTGCCTTAAACATTATTTTATTTAAGGTTTACGCTCGTATTGTATAACTTGTTATTTTAATTTATTTTTATTTTGGAATTTAAAAAATTTATAAATATGGCAACCATTAAAATTACTTTCCACCTTATGTCTGCATAATTCCTTTTGATTCGGTACCCTCAATATAATACTTTTTTTCACTTAACGATTAAATTGCTTTCAAATTTTCAAACAGGTGGTAACGCTCCTCAAAATTTCTCCAACATTACGCCTTAGAGCTTTACACCAATATTGTCTAATGTACTTAAATTATAATTGCAAGGCAGGTGACTTCTCTGCGTAATTGTTACCCGAAATGACTACTCAACACATTGGTAGATACACCTACAACTTTAATCGGTTCAACCGTTTGGTATGAGTTCAATCATAGACACATTTTCATAAGAATTTTGTATATAAACAATTCTAAAAACGAGTACCGAGCCTCCTGAATTAGAAAAAGTACTATTCTTGATATTTAGGGTACGCCCGACCCCTCCAGAGGCATTTTCCTTACCTCCTCTTATTCAATGACATTGAATCGAGGCTGATTAACTCGTAAAGCTTCTAAATTCGTCTTATTCCAGTACATTGGACTTAAGCCATCTGTGCTGCAAAAAGTTTTGTCAGACCGGCTATGGAAATATTTTTAGAGAAGATTTGCTGAATCAATGGGATTTTAGAAGAAACTTCGGTTACTTATCTCATGTTGCACGTCTCTTCCCTTTGGTTCATAGTAGTTACAGAGAACTTAGCGAATGAACTAAATGTTATATCCAGTTGAAGTTACCTAAGATCCCAGAACAAGATCGGGAAGGACCTATCCGAGCCGTTCGATACCAAACCAGGTTTCACACATCTTTAATTTATTGCTAGAAAAAATAATAAGAGTGGCAGAGCTGAATAGAGAAGGCACAATCATCTGCAAGAGACCGCAGTTGTTGGCGCACGCCAATGATGATGACATTATCGGCCTGAACAATCGCGCCGTAAGCTCTGTTTTCTCCAGAGTGGATAAGGAATCGTAGTATATGGGTCTGGTGGTGAACGAGGACAAGATAAAATATTTCCTGTCATCAAACAAGTAGTCATCGCATTCGCGATTTGGCTCCCACGTCACTGTTGACAGTCATTACTTTGAAGTCGTAGATAATTTCGTCTATCTAGAAACCATTATTAACAGCAACAACAATGTCAGCCTGGAAATCCAGCGCAGAGTCACTCTTGCCAACAGGTGCTACTTTGGTCAGAGTAGGCAATTGAAAAATAAAGTCCTCTCCCGACGAACGAAAATCAAACTTTACAAGTCCCTCATCGTTTCCGTCCTGCTGTATGGTGGGGACTTTAGAAGTTTTCGAGATAAAGGTTTCGCAAAGAATTTATGATCCTCTACGAGTTAGGAATGGCGAATACCGGATCCGATGGATTGATGAACTGTACGAGCTATATAATGAAATTTATGTAATTCAGCGAATCAAGAAACATCGCTCCGCTGTTTATGTGGTCCGGATGGATAAGAGTACTCCAGCTCTGAAAGTTTTCGTTGCAGTATCCGCTGGTGGAAGCATAGGAAGAGAAAGGCTCCCAACACCGTTGAAAAGACCAGATAGAGAAGACTTGGTTGAACTTGGTATGTCCAATTGGCGGTGCTATGTTATAAATTCGGCTGTAATCTCGTAAGCGGTATCTACGCCAGTAAAGAAGAAAACGAAGAAATGAGATCTTAGTATTTTTGTGGAGTATTGATGGTTAATCTTCTCCCGAGTGATACCTGCACAAGCTAGGTAAAGTTCAAGGGGCTCAGTGCAGAGAATGAAGAGAATTTGATGTGAAATTGTGACTGTCCGGACTTTTCAGCCAATCGAGACATCAATATTATAAGACGCTTTATTAAATCGGATGAAATGTGCGCAAACTCATATTCAGTATTTGCAATGAACCGACTCATTGGCTTAGGTGCGGAGTTTCTCACCCTTACTTTTCAAACCATTCAACCAATAAATCGAAATCAACGCATAGTACTCAACTATTCTTATCAGTTGGAAGCGTGCGTAATAAACAAATATTAGTAACCTAAGTGGGTCATGGAGAATATTTTAAAATTTCGTTTTCATTCATTCATCACTTTACTATTTTGTGGTATGGCAAATGAAATTAAGTTGGTCACATCATGGGAGAAAAGAACCCTACGTTATCGCTTAGTCTTAAAAATATTCCATTTTTCACATGTTTATCGGGCAATCACTTAATCACTTAAAAACAAAACAAACTCTATACAATGCGATACGTAAATACAAAGAATTTATTTCAAAGTGATTAGTGTACGCAATCATAATAACACTCGGACCGCTTGATCATTTGTTTTTCAGGTGGCAGCGACAACAAGATTTATTAGTTTTCACACTTGGAAAACGTTTATTTTAAAAATTTATATATAACTTGCGTTTAAGCTCACTGATTTATAACCTCGGTTCTGAAAACATACGCCGAAAATACCAAAGAATTCAAGGTCGAAAGTAACCAAGAAGCTTGGCCAAGCATCTGATTTAATCTGAACTCAACAGACACGTTGCAGGTGTGATTGCATTGCCAGGCTGAAAGATTTCAATAAAATTAAATAAGAATACATTAGAGAATATATTTTAAGATATTCTCAAATAAATACAAGGTTAATATTAAATAGTGTCCAACTGACAGAGTACACTTTTCAGAATATATCTTCACTCTCTTACGAAACTCTCACAAGAAAACCTGATTTTTGTTCGCTTTTTTTTTAATTTTTTCAAATCACCTATATTTCGCTCGAAATTAGAGTACAAGGTTTTGATGGAACGTACTTCCCTCGCCCAAATTAACAGAAACTTTGGACTTTTTCCCAGTTGAGCAACGAACGAGCATCAAGCTGCGCGCATTCATCGATGCCCAGGTTTCAAGACCTCTACTCGAGACATACGTGTATTTGTTTTTTTTGTGTTGAGTAAAATAATAATACTAATGAGTATTTAACAAAAGTTTGTTGCTTTCCAAGAAAGGAAACATTAGAAATCTAAAGTTTTTATTATATTAACTCTTACACATATAAAGAACTCGTAATACCATGACTGGCAAAAAGTAGTCTATTAGCAGATAACTTGGTGCCATGAGCCGGTGCTGGTGGAACATATGAACCTCCCAACCACGCTCGCGCAGCTGCTGGTGAGCCACTACCGATGTGTGTCGTCTCGCGATGAAACACAATTCCACCCACCCCTGTTGGTCAAATCCGGGCGCTTCTGGGTGATTGCTTCCTTCATATGGTTGATTTAATGACAGTGCAAGTCCGAATTGGGAGTTTGGCCGTAGGGGAGCATCCCACCAAACACACAAAAAAACTTTCCTGGCCGTCAAACTTGGCTTGGAGACCGTTTTAGACGGCGCACTGCTCATTCATTGTTCATTATAACTCAGCATTCATATCAGAAAAATATCAAGTTTGTTACGATTCGGAAATGGAAATTTGATTTTTGAGGATTTTCTCGAGCTCCTTTTTGTGTCCAGTTTATGTTTTTTCTGCTCGCATGACGGTCGATCTCGACGATTTTCATTACTTTTTTTTTACCCCTTTTGACAATTGGCTTTCCGCTCCAAATCAGTATCAGAACCTTGAATACTTTTCACATTTTCAGCTTCTTGACTTGAGTTTCGGCCTTTACCGAAGAGAAATTGTAGAAAATAGCGTATCTTCTCTCTGCAGATTTCCACCTTTGGCATGATTTCAAACTCTACTGAGTTAAGTGATTAAATTATATTTATAATTTATAATTATTTTAAAAAGTCTAAGTCTTTATTTGGTTTCAATCAGTAACAAATTATTTTTCAGTTTGACTGATAATAAAGAAATAAAAATAAAATTAAATAATAGCAAGCTTGACCTGAACGAATTTCGAAATTTGGCACGTTGATAGTTTTTTTGCTTTCACAAAACTTTTGCTTCCAGGAAATGTATTCCAAGAATTGTTTTTATATTTCGGCCTGCTTGAACTTATTTTTTCCGGAATTAAGTAATTAAATTTTTTGACAACTAAGTGTATGTGTAGATGTTTGCCAAGATTAATAAAAATAGTACTCTAAATGAAAAGAATGCTTATCGCCTCAGCTAAATTTGTTTGGTCAGAATGATATTTATTATTGCTTAAGAGTTTAAGTAGACAAACCGTCTGTGTTGTTTGTGCTTACGTCACAGCGCGTTCTACTTTTAGGATGTCATGCAAACAACACTTTGCAATTTGCGCTTTTCTTTTTTCACCCAGTAGTTAATCTGACGGGGTGGAGTTCAAGGCGGGTTTGCCGTTTTAACTCGTTACGTCTCACTGTTATTATCTGACTGGAATTATCGACTCAAATCAAATAAAAAGCCTTAGTAAACCATTGCCTAAGTCAAAATATTAAGTTTTTCATTTCAATTGTGGGTATTGGTCTCAACTTCTTCACTACCATGTCCTTCCCGAAAA